GTCCTTAAATAGTGAAAACCAACATTACTTTTCAGATAATAAAATAAAATGTAACATACACATATGTTTTATTCCTACGTGTAAACATCAATATGAACCCAAGCAAACAATGATGGCAGCCATTTTCCTCTTTTAACCATGATGCCCTAGCATGTGCTTGTAGATGTGAAGCAAGATTATTTTTTATTCTAGTAGTCCAAATGCACTCTTTTTGGTTAAGGCAGCAGCAGGAGCATTCTAACTTTGGTTTGTCTCTGAGCTATTTCTAGTCAGCTCCTGAGTAACTGCAGCCTCATGTCCAAAGTTCTTCTGTAACTGAGAGGAAAGACCACAGAGCTTCCACTGGCTCACACCCAACAGGAATATCTGTTATCTCCCATGCACTAAAATAAGACCTAAATTAACAAGGTGCTTAATCTATCTGTGCTAAGTTACTACGCAAAAAACCCTCATTATATGTAGTCCTTAGAAGTGAGCAACTGAGGCTACATGTGCAAGTTAGTAAACAGTGTTTGGGGTCTACGAAACACAACTGACCACAACAAGGAACCTAGCTAAAATATGTCACTGTCTTACTAAGGAGACAGGATCAGGTTGATTCCAAATATTTGTGCCCAGCTGCATTATTAGCAAAGGCTAGTAATCACCCAGGTGAGACTGACATCACTTGACTGCTAGAGTAGAAACACTCAGAATAAGGAAAGGACATGATCAGTTAGAGAAGCCAAGATGTGATAGGAGCAAGAGCTGAGCTGAACGCAATATGAAGGAATATGAAAAGGGTGATTCCTTTTGAGTAGCAGGAATTGCAGCAATACCAGCCAGAAAATTATTTGGGCCTGGACAAGAGCTGCATATGACTGAGAGAATGAGATATAAGCTCAAAGATCCAAGTGGTGGACAGGAGTGTGTGTGGAGGAATAGCAGATTTGAACATACAGTACTTTGAAAAAAGAGAGAGAGGAACTAAAAGTAAGCAGGAGTTTACGTCATGCCCAACACATAAAATTCAGCAGCCTGGAAGTCTCTTTATCTGTTTTTGTTGCCATGCAGTATTACTGGGCTTGACAGGGCAAGAGGACATAATCTCAAGCTGTGCCAGGGAAGGTTCAGGTTGGACATCAGGAAAAATTTCTTCACTGAAAGGGTGATCAAGCATTGGAATGGGCCACCCAGGGAGGTGGTGGAGCCACCACCCCTGGAAGTTTTCAAGCAATGACTGGACATGGCACTTAGTGCTATGATCTAGTTGATACTGTGGTGATCAGTCAAAGGTTGGACTCGATGATCTTAGAGGTCTTTTCCAACCTAATTGGTTCTATGATTCTGTGATGTTGGTGAAATGAAGTCCCGCTCTCTGAGTTGCAACAAAAAAAAGTTACTAAGTTCCTCATTTCACATATGATTAGTACAACCACTTGCAGCAAAGGGCAAGGAAAAGAACACCAAGTCTTCTTAGGAAAGTACCTGGCCTAAAGTGGTAGATTGAAAACTCAACGTGAAGAGGGTATGTATTTATTCTGATCACTTGCAACCTCTGGTCCAGTGCACTGTCCTTGGAAATGCTGACTCGTCTAGTTTAAGAATACTGCTGAGAACTAAACTCTTAAGTACAACAAAGAAAATAGATATATTTAATTAGCATGACAAACCTCGTAAGTATAAGACAAACATCCTATATTGTTTTATTGCATGTGTTAACATGCCACTTACCCTGCCTTTGCAACACTGATGGTTTGTTGCTCCATTGCCTCATGGATGCTGGTTCTGTCATGTTCTTTGATACTGTTGAACTCATCAATGCAACAAAGGCCTCCATCTGCAAGCACCAGTGCTCCAGCTTCCAAATTCCACTCCCCAAAGTCCTTCACAGCAGTCACTGTCAAGCCTGAAGAATCAATTACTTTAGTCAGTCTTTTCCTTAAAATGCAGGAATGCACTTGAGTGAAAGAAAGGGACCCAATGTACTGGCTTGTGCCATGGACAGAAGGCAGAGCAGCAGGGTAGCTCCACCACATACCTCTACCACGAAACTCACTTTAGAGCTACTGGTAATCAATCCCACTAGTGTTGCGGCAGGTTAGCCTGGAGCTGTGGAGCAGATTCTGTTAAACTTGCCATGTTTGATTGTGACTTGTTTTAGGACTTTGTTAAATGAACGAAAGAGATTAGGATATGAAGACTAGGTCTGCCAGATCATATTGAAAATTAGGGCAAATGCAAAGATTGCAAAATTATGCAATGGACCCATTCAGATCCTCTTCCTCCTCAACTACTAAAACAGACAAAATTTTGGAGCTGCAAAGTTTGGAAAAAGAAATATATTTCAGTCTCACAAAACACCTTGTCCCAGGAGGCAGAGTCAAATTCTTCCCTTAAACTAAGGTAGTTACATTTCTTTATGAGATTTTGGTTTCCTCTAAGCATTAAGTAAAAGTGAAAATCTAAAGATGCCCAAGGATGAAATGGCGGAAGAAAAATAAAAAAAAGTTACCCAGTAAATCTACGCACGATCCAACATCGTATGGATGGCAAGTCAAAAAGCCTGCACAACTGTGGAAACAGCCACACATTAGCAAGTACGTGCAGCTCCTTTCAATCCTTCTATTCCCTATTTCCCAGCTTCTTCTCTATCTTTAGCCCTCATTTTTCACTCCAGTGTTCTGCTCAAAATATCCTAGTAGTTGACAAGCTGCAACCAGCCTAAAATCTCCTGGAATTCTATGACAAAGCCTGCACAAGAATCCCGCTCCCCGCCATTTGGTTCAGGGAAGAGAGGCTGCAGAGACCTTCTCATTGCTGCACAGCCCATCACAGTACCCATTTGTTCTCAAGTGGCCAGCAAAAGGTTACTAGAAATATATATGTTTCCTGAAACTAATAAGTACTTCAGCTTGTTGTAAGGAATCTCCTTCACTGTGTCCAATCTTTCTCAGTTTTTGGGACTTTGCACCAAATAACCCGGGCAGTCAATCATACAGCAGAATTATAAAAACACAAAATAACCACATCAGGAAGTACTAGAGCCTGGCTGTACATTTATTTCCATGCAGAATCTTCACCTGTGGTAGGGGTACACAACTCACACCCCCCCGAGCCCTGGGCACTCTCTGCCCACAGTGGTGTGAGGGATGTCGCTGATGCTACAGTGCTGTGTCACTCCGCTTCTCCCTGTGCTCTGTGCATGGCAGCCGTGAGATGGCCTCCCTCACAGGGCTCCTGCTGCCACACAAGATGGCCTCCTCTGCTGCACAACATGGCAATCTCGCTGCACAGGGAAGGTGCATTGTCTCACAGTTTATTATGTCACCCAAGCCCTTCTTGACAAAAGAGGAAGGGGATGGTCTCCTGACAGCACAGCTGTGTAGCAGGCATGCTCCATTCCCTACACAGCCCCTCTGTGGGTGGCCTCTCCAGCAGCAGTGACACAGGCTCACAGCAGAACAGCCATGCAGACAGCCCGTCCCACCTGGGGCACCCAGCACCCCACCAGCAAACCCCCCTTTATTCAGGGGGCTCCCCAGCCAGCCAAGTGCTGCCACACTGCCACGTCAGCCAAGAGGTTGATGCCATGGGTGCTGGTCAGGGCAATGCAGCTGCTCTGCGGGGTCAGACTCATGAGCCTGCTAGCCCTGCACAGCCCCAAGACGGGGGTGACACTGGCACTTGGGCTCCCATCAATACCCAGCCCCAACAAAACCAGCACAGAAAAAGGAAAAAACAAAACCAAAAACATAACAAAAAGAAAGAGCTGAAAGCACCCCAACCCACAAGGGCCTCATGGCACATGGGGGAGCTCCACAGGCAAAAAGGTTTGGTCTGTAAGCGAATCACTACTTTCATTCTTATTAAGGGATGTTGAAAGCTTCATGCACCTTCCTGTTTGATTAGATTAGTTGTGTGCATTGTGACAGTAAAATTGCTTGTTCTGAGAGGTGTTGAGAACAATTTCATCATGAGTGCTGGACAGAGAGTAGTTTTTCACTCTTCTCAAGCAGCTAACATTGCAGTTGCTGTTTATACAGTACTTCACATTGCACACTCTTAGCATATTAAAAATGCACCTAGAATTCTTTTAAACACTTGTGAATCTTCCTTTTTATAAGTAAAGTTAAATAAAATCTTAAAATGAACTCATTTCAAACAGCTTTTTGTCTTGTTCAGATACAGTGCTTCTTTAACTTCTTGCCTGAAGTAGACTGATAAAAGATTATGTTTTGTTCATGTTCTATCTGTAGTTTTAATTTAGTTATGATATTTTGCTCTACTATTCTTCCAACCTCCATTTTCAGCTTAGGGCATTTTCCAAGGTGAGTATGGTCTTATATTGTTTACAACTTGCAGAGGATGAACATTTTGAAAGAAAATTAATTTCTTCTTCAGTTCATATAAACCTTTATGGTTCATAAGTTTAAATATAAGATAATACACTGGCAAAAGGACGCATCTTCTGTATATGAACCTGGACCTTATAGTTCCTTTAATAACAACAAATGTGGTAGGCACAGTAAATACATTTCCATGAGCTACGTGCCAGCAATTGAAATAAATTCACATCTTAGGATTTAAAATTTTTTCTTTGTAAATAAAACTCTTGCAGGGTGATGGCTTCCAAACTGATCTTAGTTGTGACGATCTGACTAGTTGTGGAGATCCGACTAGTTATGTGGTAAGACCTTTCCTTGCCTGAACTTCAATTTTCTTAATGCATACAGAAAAAAATTGCTATTGATAAGCCCTATGTCCTTTTCCTGGAAATTAAAAAAAAAAAAAAAAAAAAAAGGCTAAAGATCTGCTGCTGCTTTTCCACACCCTCCTGCCCTCCTCCTGCCCAGGCAGCCCCGCGATCAGCTCCCGCCCCGCCCCTCCCCGGCCCCGCCCCCGCCCCGCGGCGCTGTGGCGGTTGCCGGCGGGCCGTTGCCGGCGCGCGCCGCGCGGGGGCGCTGCGGCGGGGGCGGCGCGGGGCGGGCGCGCGCGGGAGCCGCTCTGGCCCGCGCTCGGTGCCCGCCGTGCCCGCGGAGGGAGGGCCCTCGCCCGGAGAGCGGCCAATCCGGGCGGGCGCTGGCGGCGAGCAGGGGCAGAATGGGCTGTAGTTGAGTGAAATAGGGAAAGCGGCGAACAGTGTGGAGCGTTCCCGGTGTAAATAAAAGGGGGAGGAAAAAAAAAAGTTTGTGGAAGTCGCCGCCCTGCAGCCTCGCTCGGGCAGCGGTGCGGGGGCTTGTGCGGTGCAGGAGCCCGGCACGGAGGACTTTAGTGCGCGGCGTTAACACGCTCTGCCTATTGTTTGTGTTTTTTTTCCAAAATATGGCAAAGGTTCAGGTGAACAATGTAGTGGTGTTGGATAATCCTTCTCCTTTCTACAATCCTTTCCAGTTCGAAATCACATTCGAGTGCATAGAGGACCTGTCTGAAGGTGAGTAGATTTTTTTCTCCCCGATACGATTTTGCAACCCCGGGCTCTGAGCTCGGGGCTTTTAAGGCTTAAACTTTGCACAGGCCTGCGCCTACAATTTGCCAGTCTTTCCTCCTTGGCCGCATCGCCGTGCCGAGCCGAGGGGATGTGCCGGCCGGGCGAGGGGATGTGCCGCTCCCGCCGAGCCCGGCGCCGGGGAAAGTTGGCGGCGTCCGCCCGCCCTGGGCCCGCCGCCTCTCCCCGCCATCGGCGAGGCGGCGAGCTGCCGCAAGTTGCGAGGAACTTGTTAGAGTGGAGGTAGCCATGTTGCCAGCTTTGTGTGTGCGTGGGGGGAGCGAGCGGGAGAGAGGAGGGTTGAACCGGGCTCGGCGGCCGCGCATCCCCGCGGGCACACGGGATGCTGGCGTGCAGCCCTGGCAGTACTCGGAGCGCGGAAAACGCTCCGCGGGGATGCGTCTCTTTGGCCTCGTGCTCCATTTTAATACTAAAAAAAAAAAAAAAAATTAAATAAATCGCGGGAGGAGGCAGGGGCGGGCGGGTTGGCCCCGGGTGGCGGCAGCGGGCAGCGGGCAGCCGTGGTGGGTGCGCGGGGCCGGGGGCACAGCTCGGCTCGGAGCGGAGAGCTGGCTGCGGGAGCCCCACCAGGGTGGGGGAGGAGGGGGCTGCCCGCCTGCCACTATTTTTGGAAGTCACTCGAAAGTTACTGGCAGCCGTCAACCCGAGGAGGGGGCGGCCCCGGCCCCGCCGCCCCGCGGGGACCCTCGTCCCGAGCCGGGGGCGCCGCCGCGCTCCCGCCGCACTCCCGCCTTCTCACCCCGGCCAGGCGGGCCGCGGGCCGCCCTCGCCCCGGCCGCGCTCCGCAGCGCCGCCCCCCGGCCGGCCGCGGGACGCGCCCCGAGAGGCCGCGCGTCGCCCCGCGGGCGGGAGTTTCGAACGGCTCGGGGCGAGGGAGGGAGCACGGGTCGCTCCTGCCCGCCCGCGGGGCGAGCCAGCGGCGGCCGCTACCCTGGGAGGAGGAAGAGGCCGCTCGGCTGGGGCTGCCTGTGAGCGGGAGAGGACAGCTGCCTGCCTGGCACTCGGCGGAGCCCAGCGCCGCCTGCTCGCCAGGGAGCCCCGCGGGTGGAGGAGCGAGGGCAGGGCCGAGGAGAAAGGGGGGAGCTGGGTGCTAAGCCTGGGTGCTCTCGCTGGCAGGCTCGCTATCGCTGCGGTTCAGGTGGCTCACCCCGCCTGCCTCTGCAGCAGCGCGTACTCCTGCGTGCCGGCATAGGGCTGTGACAGCGCGGGCAGGGAGGGAAGGACGGCCGCGGTGGCGGGAACTTAGAGGAAGTCTCTCCTGAGCCAGGGATTTCCTCTAGGCCTCCGCCGCCGGTCCCGTGCCCTTCTGTAGCTAACTGACCCGTTAGTTGGAGCTGTGCTCCATGCCGGTCTCCAGGTCGCTGGCTGGATCTTTCCAGTCAGCCTGGCCTCATCTGAGGTACAGCCCTGGACCCCTCGGTGGCAACTGCTGTGGCGGGTGGCAGTGCCCGACACAGGGGCTCGGTGTAAGGTGTTATGCGTTTCCTTCCAGTTGTGCACAGCTGTACGTGACGTGCTCCTGACACTCTGGATTTATGTTAAAGTTAATCCCGGACAGTCGGGATGAGAAGAATTATAGATAGTCCAATGCAAAATTCTCAGCTCCCTTCCCCCATCTAAATGCAAGTTAGACTACAGGATAAATTCGGGATGAACAGTGCTATCTTGCACGTTTAAAAATAAGATTAAACACAGCCTTTGTATACTTGATGAAAAGTCATTGCCTTAGCTTTCCTGTGTTGCTAGTACATCTGTTTACTGTGCTGTTTTCTCTTCAGCCAGTCCTGTGCAACACTGATCTTAAAATTAAATTCACAAACTCCAGACCTTTCTTTCTTAAAGCTGTTGTTCTGTATCAAGAAACTTAAACAACATTAGGTTCACTATTAAATTTATAATTTAAAGCTTCTAAAAAGTCCAGTTTTAGTACTAAATACTACTGGTTTAGAATGAGCTTAATACTGTTCTCCTAGAATAATGGCATAGGGTAGTGTGATAATCTTAAGCAGTTTAGCCTAAAGTCCTCAATTCTTGTAAGTAGTAACTCGTCCTCAGATGCAGACAAGAAAGCTCCTTAATTGTCCTGGATGAGTACCCAGCAGTACTGTCAACAGCTAATACTACATGCTTAAAAGGTAAATAAAACCTCTGATACAGTACCTGGCTAATTTTGCTGTGCTGTACAGAGTAGTAAAATCACTTCCCAAGCCCTGTTTGTTAAACCCGCAAAACCTGCGTTGATGATAAACATAAGCAAGAAAAATTAACTAATGAGGAGAAAGAGTTGCAATCTTAAAGCAGCCAAGTTCTGTTAAAGTGCCAAGTTTTTTCTATACTTAAATACTGTTCCTGCATCAAGAAACCGTGGTGCAGACCTTTGGATTTTGCAGTGTAGTAATCAAGTAAATGTAATAGAGTACAGGTTTGTGCTTTTGCATAGGCTATCAGGGCATTATTCACAAGGGGATAAAAAGAAATATACCATGTAAATTTTCAAGGTACAATCTGAAGCAACAGTTTCATTAAGAAAAAAGTGTTAGTCATAGTTTTCTGTAATGTTTATGTCTTTTTCCTCTTGTTTAAAAACCCAAAAATCTATCTCATTTTAAGATTAGTTCCATATGTGTATTTACACATGTGTTTTTGAATCAAAAAGGGAAGGTGAAAAGCTGGCCCAGGAAGAGCTAATGTGGGCTAATGTGCAATTTCAACTTTCAAACACCTGTCGGGGAAAGTGAATTAGGAAAAACTGAATTATAAGAAATGTTTGGGTTTGGTGCATTATTTTAAGAAGCAAAGTTGAATTTTTTTTTTCTGCCTATAATTCCATTTCAGGATGTAGATAAAATGCAAGCACCAGTTTCTTTAAGAATATGATCTTGAATGTTACCACAATTTTACATACTTCATGGGTTACACAAGTGACTTGTGAGGGAATGGGGACATACAGTTAGTGTGCCTGGTGCTTATACAGTGGGTTTTCTTACTCAGTTAACTGCCTTCCATAATCTGTGTAATTTAAGGTGTGAGGTGTATATGTGGAAGGCAGGAATTTGGTTTTGGGAGGTGAGTCAGTATTCAAGGCATGCAGTGCGTTATAGGTGTATATAGGCCTCATCCCTCTGCTGCAGCCATTCAGACAGACTTTGAGAAGGTGCTGAACAAGCTCCCAATTAGTAAATGGGCTGTGTTCTCTGTATAAAATTTGAAAATTAACCTCACCATGAAATTGAGGGATTGCTGTGGTACCAACTGACTAGGGGACAATGTGGGATAAGATTTGTGAGGATAGGGTCAAGCATCAGTAAATCTCCCCCATGAAAACAGGTTCTTCTTATTTTAGGCCTGTTTACAAAGAAGCAGTTTTAGGCCTCAAAACTGTAGATAGGCAACAGTTGAAGACCCTTAACTGTAATGATTAAATAATGGTTTTTTATTATTATTTTGTTTTGCTGCAGATTTGGAATGGAAAATAATTTATGTGGGTTCAGCTGAAAGTGAAGAGTATGATCAGGTGTTAGACTCTGTTTTAGTCGGACCTGTTCCTGCAGGCAGACACATGTTTGTATTTCAGGTAAGTTTGATTTAATGGTTTCTAAAAGGGTTGTGCTAATTTGTTTAGAGAGGACTGTTTCAAACTAAGAGGCAGTTGAAAAATAATGGTAAGCTAGAAAAAAATATTTGTCAGCTCCTCAGGTATGATACACCTGCCTTTAAAGTCTGTTCATAAGCTGATATTTCTTGCCCCTGATATTTCTTGGCATTTTTCATTGGTGGTATCAATAATTAGAGATAGTGACATAAGCACAGTTCCCACAGCTACTGATAATTTTAGCCAGTCTGGTTTGTAAATACATTCTAGATCACTCAGTAATCAACAGTGCCAATTACCTGGTTTACACCAGCACCATCAGGCTCAATGCAATTGGTGGCAGTTTCAGACAGTCAGGAGCACTAGGTTAATGTAGCCAGCACTTTCAGAAGATCAGTCCAAAAGTCAGCCAGAACAATCAAGAAATTCACTTCTATTTGGCAGGACACATGGTCAATCATGATGTTTGGCTAAGCATGCTAAATCATAACAAAAAACAGTGATTTCTAAAATAAAGACAGAAATCCAGTGGTAGATAGTAGGCATTTAGGAAAAACGTGTGGATCAAGACTGTCCAACAAAGTCTAGAGAATGTGACAGTCCTATAATATACTGCTGTTAAAGCCAAAAGTTAATGAAGGGAAAGAAAACAGGGAAAGAGCAGCACTGAGATGGCTTACTAGCCTGCTCTGGTTTCCATTTTAAGTCAGGGAGGGGAAAAAACCTGAGGTGAACCTGCTCGAATTCTTGCAGAAGCTTTTGTTTGTTTGTTTGTTTGTTTGGGATAGTTTCTTTTGTGGTGGTAATTGTTTGTTGGTTTGGTTTTTTTTTTGGTGGTGTTGGTTTTTTATTTTTTTTAATCAAACCTGTAATTTTAATTAAAACTAACACTCTTTTCCCTATGAAATACAAGAATTTTTCTTGTAAACTGAGAGCAGAATCCATCAGATGAAAAATCAGATAGAAACTGAGTATAAGGACCCTCCTACTTTCCCAAATAGTGCAAATTCAATTAACTATTTAATGCTGGAGTATGAGCATTAAAAAACCCAAAAGTGCTAATGAATACATTTCTCACTATTACTGTAACTGTTTTAAAATGCTGTCAACATTTGTGAGGCATCTGTGAGTTCCAGGGAAGTTTTGTTTGGTTTTTGTGGTTTGGGGGGGGTTTTTTTGCCGTTTGTTTGGGTTTTTTCTGTAAAGGACAGGTTAAAGGAATAGGATTAGGCTGGAGGTTGCATTTATCAACCGCATATGTGCAAATCAGTCTTGAAACATTTTTGTTTGGTTTTGGAGCCAGGCCTAATTTTTTCCACACTACAAATAAAGTAGATGTGTAACAAATGCATCATTTATTAACAGTTCTTCAATTATCAGGTTATTATAGCTTATGGCATTAATTGGTAAGAAATAGGTGATCCTCAATTGCCCTCAAAGGGGCTACCTTGTGGTAGTGTATGCAGAGGAATCAGCTGGCATTTACATTTCTAATTTAAATGATGTTCTCAGATACAAAGACTCATTGTTGATGGTGATGGGAAGGAGCAGGAAGCAGGTGCCTAAAAAGGCATGTTTTGGCTGTATGATTAGGAAGGTCTCAAAAACTAAATTTACTGGTCTTGCGGTTTATGTAGAATGGAGTCGGTAATTGTATCCTGGCTATAAATGACACTACAGCTAAATTAGGAGGAGATATGTAGACACCTTGCTTGGATTGTAGCAGGTCCTGTAAGAGATTCCTTCTGTGATATATTAAAGTATCCCTTTTATTTCTTACGGAAGTACTGTTGGTCTGAGTATATTATGCTTCAAAAGCTCTGGATTGCAAGTGAGGGTAGGGCTGAGCTAGTGTGTACACAGGAGACCACCAAAACCCAAAGTGCTGCAAGAAGCCTTTGCTGATGACTGAAGCCATTTTATTCACCAAGCTGAAGCAGCCTGGAATATGGAGAGATCAAGCAAGGGAAGGTGAGAATGGGGCAAGGCACAGAACTGCAGGAGGCACGTAATATAAAGAGAAGAGATTGTGTTCACCAGGGACAGCATAAGGAAAGGACCTTTGCGGAGGTGTATAAAATTTTCAGATAATATACTTTAGATTTTTCGAGATAGGAAAATGGCTGAAATAGCAACTAAAATGGAGTACCACACAGACAGAATACCAAGGATGATAAAACCACCTTAGTTGAAAGGAAGCTGTGTATCAGGTTGGGAATTCAGCCTTACATACAGAAAGATGGAAAATTGTTGTGCTTTTCAGACTGACAGAAGCAGTCCCCCTTTTCTTTTTTTTTTTTTTTTAACCATTTAAAAATGTTTCAATAGTAAAGGCCCACAGCTTGACCTATTTATTTCTAAATGCCAAGATATACATAGTGAAATCTGGTTCCTTCTCTCTGTGCATGTGGGTATTTGTAATAAAATCACAGAAACTTTGTTTTTTAAGAATACAAGCACATAAATAATTTACTGTCTTTAAGTGGGGATATGACCTTTGCTACCTACTCCACAGTAATAACTATGTTTTGTGGAAAAGCAAGAAAACTTAAGAGAACATACACATTGAGTGATTTCATAAAACTCTTAAGCAATTTATAGCATAAGAATGGAATATTAAGACTGATTTTTATGCAAAAAATAATCTACTGCCTTTCTTTGCCCAAATATCAAATATATATAGAGAGATATATAAATATATAAATAACAAATACCAAAATATCTGCAGCTGCGCATTTATCACTTGATCATACCAAGCCCTTTTTTTCTTCCACCTTTGTATGATCATTTGGTTCCTGAGCAATTAAGAGCTTTGACATCAAAGGGTGGAAGTTCAAAATTTGAGAGAACTGTTTTAAACAATCTTCAGTGTCTTTTCCATGCAGCAAAACAATGCTGGAGAGATAAGAAGGATTAGAACAGAGTATTTCCTTGGTTTTAGAACTGTGTCATGGGATATTACAAGACAGGAAATGACAGTGGGAACCTGGAAAACTAAAATCCTACATTAGGGTGTGAGTTTCACAGGGAGATAAACTGAACAGTGCCCATCTGCTGTCCATTACTGTAGAATTCAAAGTAATCAAATGCTTCTGGGCACTGTTAGAACAAGATTACTGAATTAAAATAGTGATTTAATCTGTATTGGCAGTTCTTTTAATTTCCTCAAGCTTCTGCGCTTGTCCTGTTCCTTCCCCATATGCAAGTTGTAAAGCCATTTGGCCATTTTCTATTTACTTCAGGGCTGGAGGAAGTTGTGTTCTACCTCCTTCCCTGGTTTCTTCTCCTCTCTCTGGTGTCTTTCTGCCTGAGAGGTCTGATCATCTAATCCTTCTGCAAAGTATCTACAGTTTCTTACAAAGAGCAAGACTGCTTTGAAGGCTTAGAATTGAAGTTGCAAAGAGTGGAAGCCAATACTGCATGAGCTGTAGCTCCCAAATTTCACTGTGCTGGAGCATATAAATACTACAGAAAAGTAGGGATGAGAGGGACATCAGGAATTAATTCCATTCATCCTCTGTCCCTAGGCAAGGTTTGTTACACCCAAGCCATTTGAACACACGTTATTAATACCAACTTGTTCTTGCAACATGGGTGTTTGTTATTAACTTCAGATCTTCATGTAAAATTGTAAATATGAAGCTGTTTCACTATGCCTTGATTGCTGTTATTTTAAATCCCACAGCAGAATGAGGCAGCACATTTTATCAGTAAATGTCGAGTTAGGAAGCATTTTAAGGAACTGATGTGAGCCACATTTTACAAGGCAAATTTTATTGAAAAAAAACTGCAGAGATGTAGTAAGTAGGGACATTGAGGAAGATCACTTGAGTTGCCTATTAATTAGGTTTGCATATTGGCTGAAAATGTCAGGTGTCTTGGAGAGATGATGCATTTAACTGCATAAATTTTAACAAATGTAGCTATTAGGAAAGAGGTGAGAGAAAGTAGTTTATTCCTTTCCTAGAAGTCTGTGGGACAGCTCAAACCTCACCATAGCCCATTTCTGTAGTTTTAAAGATTCAGTCTTGTTAAAAACACACATATAGACCAAATCAATCTTGAAGGTGTAAAAGAAAATAATCTTGCTCTAATGAATTACCAAGATGGGCTGAAGAACCTTAGCACTGTAGAACTGGAGTGATGTTAGTACACCTGCTCAAACAATGGTTCAGCTGATTTTTATTTATTTTTTTTTTTTTATTTAAAAGCAGTTTGGGATCTAACTTGCCTAATCACCCATGAGAAATGTCAGACAACAATATTACTGTACTCTTTGTAATTCTGTCTCTACAGGATAGTGTCCTAAATCTAGGGTTGGTGTTGTGAAAGCAGGTATACTTTCTGGTTAACTTGAACAATTTTAAATATAGTCACTACTCAGCTGCTAAAACACACTGTTTAAGATTCCCCTGCTAGAAAGTCACGTAGTATCAATTTTATTTTAATTTATCTTTCCCTTTCACATTTAGGCTGATGCACCTAACCCAGGGCTTATTCCAGATGCAGATGCAGTAGGTGTAACAGTTGTGCTAATTACATGCACTTACCGAGGTCAAGAATTTATTAGAGTTGGCTACTATGTAAACAATGAATATACTGAAACAGAACTGAGAGAGAATCCACCAGTAAAGCCAGACTTTTCTAAGGTAAGGCATGTTTTGTTCTAGTCATATATCAGAGGTATGCTTAGAGGTTTTTAAGAAACAAAAGCAAACATCAAGTGATTTCATAAAGTGCATGGAATAAGGCATTAAATAATGGAAAATACTTGGGGAAACAAACTACAAGTACCATGTAGTTGTCATAAATTTGGATAATGCTGAGAAACCATCAACGGTTTCCACCATCTTGAAAACTTGGCTGCACTTTCAGGCCGACTGTGTGAAATAAACTGTTGGATTTATTTCTACCTGCACCAGCATTGACAAAGTGGCTCTTTTCTTCAAAAAAAAGAGAATAATGCTTTTCTAGGCCCATCAGCCAGGAACTAAGTAGTAGATATTTATTTACCAGAGTTGTTACCCAGCTGTTCTAGTGTCAGAGCTGCAGTTTCTGCAAAACTGAAACAAACAAAAAAACCTGAAGAACAAGTTAGGTGTAAAATGAGAGAAGATGGGTAACCTGGTTGGATGATTATCCAATGAATGGACAACTTGACAAAGGAAGTATGCAGATTAAGTTTTAAAAAAAAAGATATCCTTCATGGTAACAATTAGCCCAGGACTAGAATGAAAAAATGAAATGAAATAGTATGTTTTTCTATGCTTAACTTAATTTTCAGGGATCAGATACTCAATATGTTCTCAAAATTACATTTCATTTTATTTTGAGGATTCCTGAACTTTTGATATCTTCCTTTCTTTTTTTTCTTTCATTTAAGTCATAACATGTTGGTTGTAAATGCCAAAAGGTGGCTTCCTTTAAGCACTTGAATTTAAAAATGCCTAGAACTACTTGTCTTCATTCTCTGCTTATATAAAAAGCTAGAGTTACTCCTATGAAAAAGAACAGCAAAAGCTAGCATGTTTGTATAAGAAGTCCCCCTCAGAATAGAAGCACACAAGTAGAAGGTTAATAAATTAATTGGTGGTAATAAACCCTACTAGGTTTTAAAAAAGTAGCGATCTTGTTAGTTTGCATGAGGGATTGGGAAATACTTAATGGAGCATACTTTCTAGGAGAATAAAATCAACAAAGCAGACTTTTTCTGTTATCAGTCTTAACTTTCATAACGAGTATTCAGTGGTGATAACTTGCCATCCTCTAGGTAACTATGATCTTTTACCCCTCTCAAGATAAAGAGAAAATGAGCATTTTTTTTTGCTGCATAAATAAACAAATGCAATGTGTTTTCAAAAGGAAATGAAGTCCAGCATGAGAATAAAATATATAACTAATCATGTCCACTGCCACAATGTTAGTATCTTCCAAATCTAAGTAATGTTTTTACTTTTACTTGAAAACTTTAGTAGATAAATCTACTTAGTGAAATCAGTCTAATGTTTGGTAACTTAAGGATAGGTTGTACTCTTAAATGAAGATGGGGAGTTGATGGAATTGATAGTTATTGCAAATACTGGAAAATTGATGCAAAATTTTATGAGTACAGTAGTTTGCAGAATCTTTAAGTAGTAAAAGTAATTTCCTTTACTAAAAGCTGGATAAAATAATAAACACTTGCTCTTTACTTGTGGAGCTCTTGCACAGCCTTGAACACATGGAACAGTTAAAATATCCTCCTAAGAAAGCAGTTTTTTGCTGAGTAGGATATTAGAGTAAATGACTAAGTAATGTGTACTGTAAGTGCATTTCTGATCCACAGGTAGTAGCTATATATTCACACTTATATAAATTCCCTTTTTAAACAAATTGTTTTACACAAGCAAGACTATGGGGAGTAAAAGGAAAAAAATCTATATGCATGTGAACTCCCATTTGAGATGTACATATTACAATCCATATATTTTCTTCTTTCCCAGCTTCAAAGGAATATTTTGGCATCTAATCCCAGAGTCACAAGATTCCACATTAACTGGGAGGACAACACTGAAAAACTGGAAGATGCAGAGAGCAGTAACCCAAATCTACAGTCTCTGCTTTCCACAGATGCGTTACCTTCAGCATCAAAGGGATGGTCAACATCAGAAAATTCACTAAATGTTATGTTAGAATCTCATATGGACTGCATGTGACTAACCACCATCGTTTTGGTACTGTATATGTGTTAAACTGTAAAAACAACCAGAACTATTTCCCTCAAATTCCATAAGTACATAGTTTGATGAGCAATGTGAAGAACTTGTTTTAAAACATCCTGTAGAAAGTTTATAAAAAAAACCAAAAAAACCCAACAAACAAACAGTATTTGAGCAAATTGTGGAATATAAATACAACTATTTTTAAGTAATTGCCTTTTTTTCTAATGTGTTATTCTATGTGGTCTGAACCAAACCTGATTAAAGTATATGTATTCTCCCCCCTCCCCCTTTACTTTGTAAGCACTATTAAAAGCTAAAAAAAAAAAAAAGTTTTAAGGTTAAAACATTCAGGCAGAATGAAGGAATAATGCCATGTCCTTGTCTCTGATACCCAGATTGCCAAATATAAAGTGTCCTTTAATAGCAGCTTAAGAACAAAACTGTCATTAGATGAAGTGCAAAGAGAAAAGTATCTCTGATTAAAAAAAAAAAAGTCCAAAAATGTCCTTTTGCTCTAAAAGCAGACAGCACAGTATAATTTTAGGTGCAAGATTCTTTTTTTTTCAAGGCACATACTTGTTACTTAAAGCATGCAATTTGAGATTTACCATCTGCTATTTTGGATTTTAGGACTTTTTTTTTTTTTCTTTTAAATCTCCTCCTGCTGCTCTTTAGTCAAACAGTGGTTTGTTCAGGACAGTATTTCATGGGGATTTGAGTGGGTATCTCAGGAAAGAATGCTTTTTCAGCCACCCTAATAGCAATTGGTTGGAAGGATGCAAGCAGTTATTAAAAAGTTCTAAGTGTGAAAAGGAATGGTGTGAGTATCCCAAAAATGGTCTTCTGTAAGATTATTATGTACCACTGCTGGTTGGTTTGGTTATTTTCAGGTATGCTTTGTTCTTGCAGTCTTTTTCACTAGTAATAAGGAGTTTAGATGTCTTTCATTTTTTTGAAACGCCTGGAATTGAAAACTGCTGTTTTCTCTCTACTGTTTAAGGCAATCCTATGCACTGGTATAAATCAAGATTCAAATCCTGTTGTGGCAGGCAGAATACATTACTTGCCCTGAAGCTCTTGCACTGAGATGTCCCTATTACCTGAGGCATCCTTGAAGACAGATACAAAGAACTAAGCAGTAAACTGTAAAGACTTAAGACATCATTATGACACTAACAATTTAGTTATTCTTCCAGTCCTCATTAGCTTTATACATATACTCTTGACAGTATGTGCATTTACATTTTAATCTGTCATGCCAGATTACAGGAATATAATTCTGCTAGTTACAAGTAACCGCCCAAACTGTGAACCCTTGTAGGTTCCAGGCCCTTCAAAAAAAGGTAGATTTCATGATAACTGACAGTAGAGCTCTGAATAAAAATAGAATGCTTTCTCTTCTCTTTCTGCATTCTCTAATGTGGATGAAGATGTGCCAGGCAGTTAGTGCTTCTGTCTTTCCACACTGTTAGTGAAATTATCTTCATTTTGAACACGTATATTTTTTTAAATTGGAAAGGAGTTATCTGAATGTACATGCATATGGAAGCTCAGCAGTACATAGGGTAGCTGAATGAAATACTGAAATCCATTAATATTTGGAACCATAATTCTAATGTGTGCTCCTAAAAATCTCTCTGTAATTGTTTAAAATGATGACTAGCAATTTAAAAGTATTAACACCGTAATATTGGTATGACTTAACAGAATTGGTTCCCTAAACTAGCAGTTGTTTCACTTGAGGGCTGAAGTTCTGTGAACTTTTAAGAAAGGTCTTTGGTTTTCAATTATATTGCAATTTGTAGGTCTGTAGTGACATTTTGAGATTTTTCATGCACTTTATTGTTCTATTTATAACTATTTTAAAGATATGTCTTAAATGTAAGCATGTAAATAACTCAGTCATCTGCTGAAGCACTGACGGGCTTGTGAAGTCTGCCTTGAACTAAGGCTACAGTAGTAGCATTTCAAACTCTTGCACCTATTAAATATTCAAAGGAAAACATGATCAAGTACAAGCTTTAACCAGAATCCATCCATCAGTAGCATAAAGGCTTCTTAGAAGCCTGTGCCACAAAGTGATGAAAGCAGAACCTCTTGCTGCTATTGCAAAATCAGCTACAAAATATATAGTCTCACCCAGCAAACCCATTAATTTAGAGAAATTGGAAAGTGAAGCTCTGTTGTTCTGTTAAGGAGCAAAAGAGTCAACTGTGCACATGAACTTGGGTGCAATAAACTTGAAGCTCAACTGTATGGCAGATGCTGCAGTAGAATTTGGCACCACCTTACCCGACACAATAACATGTCCTATATATAGCTGACCCATCAGTTACAGGAGAAAGGATACTGTGCTTGGTGAAAATTGGAGAGGAACAACCCTACCTCATCATCTTTGCAAGATAAATGGCTTTTCTATGCCTTTTGAGAGGTTGGATGCCTTTCAGGTCTTCTACAACTTTGTCCACATCTTAGCAATCCATACACACTGCCTTATGAGTATCATGTTTCCTGATAAAAATCATAATCCAGATGCATGGAATTTGAGAAACCAAGTTCCAGTACTCCACAGGCTTCAGGCAATATCACAGCACAAACTTAGTGTTATTAAAAGACAGAGTGCATGTAGGGGATCTGTAAAGACCTACCCATGATCTCTGTAAGTTTTCAAACAGCAGGGTTGTCCATATGACACACAGCCATTGCTGACAGCACAGCATTAGAATTTCAAGGTTGAAGATGAATTCGCTTCCCCACAAACTTCTACTCGCAGAGACCACTAAGATACGAGGAAGTGCTACAGAGTCTATTGACAGGACTGGTGATGCATCTTGGTGTATTTTTACCTCAGACAGATAGCTAGTTTCATTAGAAGACTATCATAATGCTTATCAGAGGTTAGTCATGTACAAAGAAGTAAGTGGATCAGACAAGGTAACATTACACATGAAAAAACAGGGGTGGGGTTTTTATGTCTAGCTTGAAAAAAATTGTCCATCTTACTGTGATTTATTCAGGTGTCACCTTCAGTCTGAATTCCTATGACACTTAAGTTTGATGGGGGCAAAAAGGCTCCAGCTCCATCATAGTGGAGAAAATTTCATCTTTCCAGTGGCTTTTACTACCAATCTTCAACAGCGCAGCAACTCAGAACTTTGCTAAAATAAACACAGTAACTTAGTTTATAGCCTTGCCAGACAATCTGTTCTTGAGATGTGAGTGACAAAGTCACAAAGAGAAATCTGGTATTTGACAGTCCATTACTTTCTTTGTAGTGCCTCAACTGCTGGTTTTCTGGAAATCAGTTCAGACTAGTCTAGACTAATACTGTCCATGCCATCTGAAAATGCTGGAGGGAAGAAAAAGGAAAAACCCAAAATGAACTATGCACATCCACTCCTGGCAAATCTTCATTTACCAGAGACAAAAAAAGAGCAAAGTTAACTAAATCTTGTGACTTCTGTCTGGACAGCTGCTGGAGATCCTTCACATACTTACTTAACTACCCTACTCCTTATCCGTAGCACAATGGTCTGCAAGCTTACAGATTATCTCATATTTTGAGAGCCACAGAAGTTTGGTCTGAAGATGATGGGTTAATTGTTGCTGTGGTGGGTAGCTGGGGAGCTCTGCTCAGTGCCAGCCAGGAAGATGCTGCAAACCTGACAACTGTGTATCAGCATTGGCAGTGTGTGTGGGACTATTCATGCTAGGCCTTCCTATTTGTGTTTCTGTTTCCAGTTACAGTTCTCTTTTTAAGAGCTGGTCGTGTAGTGTGTGATAGGAAAACTGGGCTGGAGAAGATGGGTGGAGGGATTTTTTCTTAATTTTTAGTCTAGGCAATGAAGACAATCTAAGGAAGAAAAGCCAGCTGGAGGCATTACAGACGCTTTATTAAAGGCCAAACCCAGGCTTCTACATGGAACTTGAAAAGCAAAGGCCCTTTCAAGAGGAGATGGAGGGAGGATACACTTGAACATTTCCAGCTTTAGCTAAAGCTTTTTTGGAGGCATGGCTGGGTACTCACTGTCTGTAAGATAAAGGTGTGACTGGCCTATCTGCAGATAGGGAAAATCAGAGGTGTGTGCACTGCATGAGACAACAGCTATGAGTCAACAGCAGTGTTAGAACTAGCTGAAATGTCAGAAACAAAATTTTAGGGAGCTGTTGGGGTCTCCATCCAAAACTTCCCTGGACTATGAGATAAGGAGACCTACCTTTCAAAATAAGGGTGTTCTTCAGTTTGTCCCATCTCACGAGAAAGGTGGGGCAGACCTACTCTGATACAAACTGGAAAGAAGCAGGGACTTCATGGTGCAGTAGAGGGAATCCTGAAGACATCTGATATCCATCCAGAAATCAACTGAAATGCCTGCCATTTCAACAGCAGGATGAATAAGTCTGATGAAGGCTGGCCTGGATGTGTGAAAGACCTGAAACCTTCAGCCAACATGATGAAGTTGCTGCACTGCTCCTGCAATATTTCCCATCCATCCTAACTATAGGTCTTCAGGTACAGATGTATGAACAGACCAAAATTTTTGAAGACAGGTATATACTTGGCTAAATAATCCCTGGCATGCAGGAGGTGAAGGTAAGCTGTCTCAGGACAAAGCCATCTTGGAGCCACATTATTGAGAGGAAATTAAGGGATTTTAAGAATCTGCAATAGATGAGACATTGTTACAGATGGAACATATCTGACGGTGTCTGATCACAAGTTCAAATTTCATTCCTGCAGGAAGTCTAGCAGACTTCCTACAGAGTTAAGGCCTCTTCAACTTGAGGCCCAACTGTTGATGGAACAGGCAATGAAGCCATGCTCTCAGGAAAATATTTTCAAGGTACATGCTGATAGAAAATACTTGAAGTTCACGTACAATTATAACTGTTCAGGAAAACAATCCCCTGGTGGAAGTGAAGATCAGAGAAGAGTGGCCTAAAGGCTGCATCTGTATTAATAACTTTATCAGGGTCAGGGAATGAATCTACAGTGGAAAACTGTTCCCTGCCACTGCCTTGGCTTGTAGCAACTTGGGAATGCCCAGGGACAGTTTGGGATCTACAAAGAGGGAAAAATATCTCCAGTTTCAGTGTCTTGCATACCTCAGGATACTGACACCATGTACTCTATTTATAACCACAGCTGGATGGCTCATGTCAGCCACTTTGGATTGGTTTCTAATGGATCAGAGGAGAGACAGCCTTTAGCACCTGAAGACTGCCTAGCAGGGCGACGCTTACTATGACAGAAAAAAAAAAAGAGGTGGTTTCCCCTGGAGTCAGTTCCCTTCAATGAAAAGAAAGAAAATCGGTAGCAAACTGCTGTTGGCATGATATGGACAATCTCACACAGTGCAAAATGTCAGCAAAAAGGCAGCACTCACAAGGCTCTGCAGAGGCTGTAAGAGGAAAGGCAACAAGGCTGCATTTCATACAGCTCAGAAAGGCATGTTATACAAAACTGGAGAGCTGGAGAAACAGCTGATAGTC